TTTTTTCAGGATCTCTTTAGTTGTGAAATTTATACGTATTTACTTTATTTTCCTTTTACTTCAAACTAAAGGGTTTAGAACTTTCAACCTCGAACTTTTAAGAGAATTTGAGTTTTTAAGTGATGGAACTCATAAGTTCTTAATTTATTTTTATTATACTTTACAAAGGTTCACTTTAATAAAAACTTTTAATTGAACTCAGAGGTAAAATACGAATTTGAAACTTTAAACTCAAAGAGTATTTTGTTGGGTTATTTTTTAAATAGTTCTTTTAGTTTATAATCTTTGCATTAGAATCTATCTTAGTATAGTCCATTTTTCTTTTCCTAAAAGCAAAATGGAATAAAACACGCAAAAATATATACATATAAGGAATTTTCATATAGTTAAAATAAATAAGAAAAAATAAATAAAATGATTCAAAGTTTAAGGAATCCAATCAATTGGTAAATACTTATCTACACATAATTTAATGGATAAAACATTCTTCACCTGAACTATATACTATCGTACTCTATTCAATTATGTTCGTATTGACAATAAAAATAATAATGGAATGATAACAAAAAGTGTGATTGATAAGTAAGATTAATTAAATAGCTAAGAAATGGCATATACATCTAAGGTTGTCAGTTAGCCTATAACGTATGAAGCATTCCAAGAAATTAATATTGGATAGAAAGGTCTCTGACTTACTTCGGAATGCTGAACGTCGTATTCCATGTGGTAGTGGTGGCTTTGCCCGTGTCTCTCAATGGTCTGGACTCTGGGCCACAGCGCTTCATGAACGCATCCTTACACCCATCCGCCCCTGGAATACATAATTTTGTTTTTGTTTTGAAGTTTAAGTAAGATCCAAGCATGTTATTGAAAGTAACCCAAAATTGAAGAGGAACATTACAGTGGGCTCATAAACAGCCCATACAAATTACACCTCACATTCCAATCGGCCCACCGGATACCGGAAAACAAAAGAACCACACAACCGACAGTTGTTCTTTTCCTTCCTTTTTTGCCTTCAAATTAAATTTCTGAAGATAGAAATTGGAAGAGAGGTTACAAACTTAAAATTACGAAGTCACAATTGCCGTTCTTCCTGGGTTGGTTTTTCCGTCATTTCATCCCCTTCACCAACCGACCCAGCCGGTTGATTTTCCACGGCTTCATCTTTTACAAGGGACCAACCAATCAACCGATCTGAAACCCTTTCACGAACAAAAAACAAATATTTATTTTCAGTTCGTGTATTTTCTATCTCACGTGCTCGACACGTGAGATTCTACGTGCTCTCTAGGGCCGGGTTGGTCTCCTCTTGTCTCTGCATTCTCTCTTTATTTTTTTTTTTAGAAGAAAACGTAATCGTCGACGTCGACGTCGTCGTCGTCGTCTTCTTCTTCTTCTTCTTCTTTGTCAGTCATCTCTGACGACACCATTTAGGAGCCTTGATTTCCGAGTTCTAGCCATTGCGATGCGGATCCCTCTGGATTTTCAGAGTTCTCATCCAACGGCTCAGCTTTAATCTCCGACCCGGTCTCACATTCTTCCGACTGCACGTGATTCGGCCCCACCATTTCTTCATCGTCTTCTTCTCTTCTCACGCGCTTCACTCCAATAGAAACTCCGAACAGCTTCGGCGTCCTTCCCTCCGCCGTCGCCACCGCCACCGCCTCCTCCACCTTCAGTCTCACTTCCTGAATCCCGTCGCTGACGGCGCCTTCGTCATCCATCATCTGCCTTGCTGGCAAGAGGTCTAGCGCCTTCCCGTCCCGGACACTCACCGACTCCAACTGCTGGTGACCTGAAGCGTAATTCGTCATCAACGATAGTATGTTGTTGCAGAGCCCTTTCAACTGAGTCAACTCGTGACTCAGTTGCATGTTCTCCTTCCTCAGCCGCTCGTTCTCTCTCACCAGTTCTGGTGTAGTGCAGCAGCTCGTACCTCGCTGGAATTCCATCGGCGATGAGTTCGATGACGTCACCTGCTCTTCGGCAGAATTCACCGGCGATATCACGCACGCCGCCACAGCCGGAGACGCTGCGACTGTCACCAGTGGTACAGAGACGGAGGCCGGCGTCGCCGGAGCCGCCACCGACAATGCTACCTTCCGCCGCTGGATGTCTCGGAGAAGTGCTTTTTCACCTCTCTTGAAACAATCGTTCGCAAATTCCCATCGATCCGGCACAACCTTCCGGAATCCCTGCGCGGTAGTTACGAAAAAATAAAATTAAAAACAAAATTCTGGAAATTAAAGATATATACGACGAAAAGTACTAAAAAACAGAACCATCATCCGTTTTTCCAAGAAAAATAGTGAATCCAAAAAGAAAGTAAAGCGGATTCGAAATTTGGCAAACAGTCGAAAGATGCAGAAACTTACATAAGTGTTAAGTTGACGGACGAAACTGGAAAAGTTATTGTGTTTAAAGTATTTAGGAAGTAAATCTCGAGCGAATTCAGCAGGTCGCCAGACTATGAAGGTAGATCCATCTTCGTTCCACGAGATGAGGTCGTCGACATCCGGATCATCAACGAGTTGATACGTTTTTGTTAGAAACGGCGTCGGAATAGATCTCTGAGAATCTCCGGTTCCGGAATCGCCTATCGGCTCCGCAGGCGACGGAGCCATCACCGCTTCTTCCAGATCTGAACCGTAGGAATCTCCGAATATCGAGAGGTTTCGTCTCAATCTAATCAATTAAACTTCCCGATTAGAAACCTAAAAAAAGAACACTCAAAAAACGCTCAAGGAATAAAACAGAAAATAGAAAAACAAAAATCAAAGAAGAAAAAGTCGAATTCAGGCTAGGGCAATGGAGCAATTACTTTGTCGAACTCCAAATCTACCAAATCATAAAACGGAACGATTTCGCCTTAATCTCACAAACAAAGAATTGGAGTTCTAATGAAACATACAAATACACGTCAAAAGAGAGCAACAGAAGATCGAATTAGAAGCTATTCTATTACCAGACGAGATTCTCCCCTCGAACCAAACAGCAAAAGAAGAAGCCGGGAGCGGAATCGGAATCGGAATCGGAGGAGTGAAGAAGACCACCGCCCCTAAGAATGACCTCCGCCACTGCAACGTCAGAAGCTCAGCAAAGCCGCCGCGTAGAGAGAGAGAGAGAGGTTTTGTTGTTTCTAGAAGTTTCTGGGTAAGGAGAGTAAATGATAAGGAAGAGAGGGGGAAGAAAAAAAGGAAAACGTGGTTTCCAGAAGGAAATAGGAAAATGTTTTTTTAAAAAAAGGAGAAAAAAAAAGAGAGTGGGGTCCACAAGAGATGAGACATTAGAGAGAGAGAGAGAGAGAGAGAGAGAGAGAGAGAGATAGAGAGGATAGGAAAGCACCAGAAGGATTGAAGTTAGGAAGCGTGCGTGTCTCTTTATCCCTCGTGGATTTTATTTTATTTTATCTTTTTTAACGTCTTCTTCTAAGTTCTTCAAATCTTCTCCAGAAGCTTCCCTTCCTTCTTTCCTTTTTTGCCCTTCCCCCCTTTGGGCCGTTTTTGTGGATTGGGGAGCCCAAATTCTGGCCCAACTATTTTTTTTCTTTTCACACTACTTTTTGTTACAACTATTTTAATTATATGAAAATAGTTTAAATAGTTCTTCGAAAGTTAGCTACCACCCGTAAATATTGTTCTCTTTAGACTTTTTATACTAGGGAGAAGTTTACACATTTGAAAAATGGTAGTTTAGGGTCGACCAAGTCTCCAACACGATCAACAGCTTCGATTACCGAATTATGAAGGTTGTCGATAATTGAACCCTTAAACCCTTATTTAAGAAGCTGAATAACAGTGTGGCTTGGATCTTCTTTTTTTTTTTATTAAAGGGCAAGAAAAGAGCAAGCTTTGTAATGGAAAGATCTCCAAAATCTGTCTCTTTACACTCTGCTTCCTCCTCTTTCCCAGTTCCTTCTTGTTGGCGCGCTATTTAACGTACATGTTTGTCGAAGATCTTCCAAACGCGCTGACAATACGCGTGTACTTCACTCAAGCTTTAAGATCTTTTGATTTCCAAATCATCAGATTTAAAATTTTTAAATTAAAAAAAAAAAACAGAATATCTTTTTTTTTTTTCTTTTCACAATTTACCACCGTAATTTTATTTTCTACAGAATTGTTGGAGATATTAAACTAATAATATTTTTTTTTCCTAACTAATTATATATATTCTGACCTATTTAAGTGGAAGATTTAATTTGTTTCCTAAAAAATTAAATTTTTACCATTTTTGTACAATTTTATTTCTTTATTAACGCACCCAATGAATATTTGTCAGCCCAACCATATTTGATAGTATCATTTAAAAATCTCAGCTCCACCATTAAGGAAAAAAAAAAAATGAAAATCTTAAAAATATCAATTTGAAACTAATTTATATTCATATCCTCTGGAAACATTAAATATTTGAATATTTATGGCTATATGTCGAACTAACCATTATATTAGAAACACTATTTAGAACAAGGTTAAAAATTAAATTATATACTCAATCATCTATACTTTAATAAATTTATCTCTTAAATTTTGATCGGTAACAATTTAGTCCCTAAATTATAATATGTTATAAGTTAATTGATGTACTTTTAATTTTAATGGTCGATCAAATTATAATAAATTGTTATAAAATCAAATTTTAATCATTAAATTGTTAAAATAGAGAATACCTATAAATAAGATATTATTGTATTTTAATATTAAAAAAAAAAAAAAAAACCCTTTTGGGGATTTGGTGAAATTTGGAGGTCTAATTGGAATTTTTATTTTTAGGTGCTTTTTTCTAATTTGGTCCCTCTTATTTAAAAAGTTGCAGATTAGGCCTTTGATTTAATTCTTTTTCAAAAAAGTGATACCGCACCACACGACGGGGTCTAATTTCTCGGCTTTAATGGCGGAGCACTGTTCGGCTCGGTTCATCGGCTTTAATGGCGGAGTACTGTTCGGCTCGGTTCATCTCGCCGAATCGTTTCGACCATTATCTCTATATATAATCGAACAAATAATTGTTTTGAAGATCCCAAATCCTCTGAAAAGGATCGAGATCCAAGGAGAAGTGGGGGATCGAGACTTTTCATTTCCACCTTAATTCCTTCCCCTTTTTCATCATCCGCGAAAATGCCCGCCGGAACTCTTGAAGTTCTTCTTATTTCCGCCAAGGGGCTTGAGAACACCGATTTCCTCTGTAAGTTCCCGCTCCCAATCTTGTTTCATTTTCTGGTCTCTATTTCGCGATCTTTTATGGGTATGTGTCGAAGATTCCGATTCTGATTATACTTTTAGTATCTGAGAACTTGACGGAAATGAATTTCGTAGAGGAATAAGTTCATAGGGTTGTGTTAGTGTTTGGTTTTGATCATTGATACATGGAGTTTGTTGCGACCCTGAGTGAAACTGATCTGCATGAGGAAGCGTTGAGGAGGTGAATTTAGTGGGTCAACACAACAAGAGTCGTTTTATGGGGTTTCGTATTGGGTACTGGTTTTTGTACCGTATGTTTTTAATGCTTTGGTGGATATTTCTGGATATGTGGATCCTGTACTCATCTGATTCTTCTAGTTTTGCGTGTAAGAGGGGGCACTGTTGGCAGATATCTGTGAAGTTTTTATTTGCTAAAGTTCATTTCAGAATAAATGGGTTTTCCAATTAGTTGATGTAGATGAACTGCTGTGATTTGGGGAATTCATTTGGTGAAAGATGGGAAAGAAAACAAAAACTAATTGTAATTTATTCTTACCTTAATTACAATTATTTGTTTAAAATTGATTTTACTCAACTTGAACATAACTTAACAAGCATTTATTGATTCTCACTCCTTGAACTCTCGAGCTCTTTCGTAATACCATACTTTTTTCCACAAATAAAAAAAAATGTAGGTAATTTTTGTTAAAAAAAAATTAAAGGTAATCTTGTCTTAACAAGGTTTTGATGCATTTGTGCAGGTGACATGGATCCTTATGTTGTTCTTACTTGCCGCTCACAGGAGCAGAAAAGCAGTGTTGCGTCAGGTTGGTTTATGTTCTATATAATCCTCATATCTCTGCCATCTCCTATTTTAAAAAATTTGAAGTGTTTTTACCATCAGAATTGTTTATTGATTGCATACAGGAAAGGGGTCGGAGCCTGAATGGAATGAGACTTTTGTATTCACCATATCTGATGGCGCTGAAGAGATCACCCTAAAGATACTGGACAGTGATAGTGGCACGCAAGATGACTTTGTGGGCGAAGTAACGTAAGTAAAAATGACTCTTAATTCTATTAGGAACAACCAACCTCTACACTAGTAACAAATTCTTCCTCATAATCAAAGCGTGGCTTTAATTGAAAAGGAAGTGGATTTTTGAGCTTGGTATGAATGGTTATCTTTCTGATCTGCTTGGCACGGTCTTTCTATACGCTAAAGCGAAAAACTAGCTTACATCATGGGGTATATTTTGTTCTATGAGGACTGTTTGATAATGAAAACACAAGCCTGTTCAAATGCCCTGAATATTATTTGCAGCATTCCTCTGGAACCTGTTTACCTTGAAAAAACCCTCCCTGCAACACCATATAACGTTGTCAAGGATGCAGAATACCGCGGAGAGATCCGAGTTGGCCTTACTTTCGCTCCTGAGGTTGCTCTCCTTCTTTACTTCCGACTATGTTGTAGAATTATCAGATAAAATTTCAACTTTTTGGCTTGTCTATAAGCATTTGCTATGTTAATTTTGCTATTAACACTTCGATTCTCTGCCTGCAGGAGAGAACTGCAACAGATTTTCAAGGGGAAGACGAAGCTTATGGTGGATGGAAGCAATCCGCAGATGGAGAATGAGATCCACCGCTACTCCATGATTGCTAATTGTATGTTTGAGGGATTTCGAATCCAATGTGTTCAGAGATCAGAAGATCTTTGTTCTGTCTGAATTTCCTACATGTTGTTTGTCATCAGTTTTTCTGAGTGAATATTTAAACCTCTAAATTCTCAATCTACATAATATACTTTAACCAATTAAGCTAAACTCGAGTTTGGCTGGTTGGTTAAGAATAAAGTTAGTTTCGTTGTAATGAACTTTCTTGTTATATTCTTCAGCTAATCAGAAATTTCTAAAGGAATATCAACAATGCATCAAATATTAGATAACAACTCATCAAACATTCATGTACGTGTTTTTGTTTTGGATTTTTTACTAATTAATCACATCCAAACAATTCGATTCTAGTGTTAGTTGTTTCAATAAAAAAATTAGGAATTTGTTTTCTTCTATTTCTGGCAAAGGGTACATAGTGGTTCGAGTTTGACGTGGGAGTTACTGAATTTGAAATGCCAGATTGGAGCATCCATTATAATACAGATTTGCTAAAAAGAAGAAAAGAGCAATGAGCCGTTCTTCTCAAGACCTGACCTGTGCTGTTATTACATCCAAAAGCTACACTTCCCTCAAAAACTTCACCTTCCCTTGAAAGGTCTGTTTCTATCTACGCGAGGCTGCTGTTGAGAAGTGAACCCACTGCAGCTTGGTAGACTCACATTCCCCAGCAGAGGATCTAAACTCAAGTGTTGTACTGAACCAGATTTTTCGGGTCCATCAAAGTGGGATGATATGTCGTTTTGGAAGAAGTTCGGGGATCCGTAGTCTGGAAGTGCTATGCTACTCTCTCTTTGGCTGCGAGAGGACTCGATTCGCTCCTCGAAGTAGCTTTGAATTTCCAGACTACCTTCTATTGGTATTGCACCCGTGAGAGTTTTGAATGCAAAATCCAAGCATGGGTCTGCCCAGGAATCTCCAAATGGAAAGGCTATTGGAGTTTCTGAGGTTGTGTCTTTCGTTTGATGCTTTTGATTCTGATCATCGAGCGCCATTTTGTTGCTCTCGTGACATGTATTGATCCTATCCAGTGGAAGGTGATGCAGCTCTCTGGGTGGAAATTTTTGGGAAGATGTTTTACACGGTTCATTCTGTGGTTCTCCAAGTATTCCACTGTCTGATAAATTGAAAGCTAGAACAGCTTCATTTGAACGATCGTTTGCTTGTTGAAAGGATATTATATTTGATGCCAATTCAGGTTTGAGCCCATTAATACTTGAAGATTGACGATTTGAAGTGAACTCTTTCTTGTTCTTGAATTTTGTGTTCTCTTGAGTTCTCTTATCCATGCAGCTTCCCGAACCATTTTTTACTGATTTCTGCCCTTGCAGGAAATCAATTGTAGGATCAGAAACTAGCCCATCGGTGGTGGTTGCGTTCTCCACTGGCAATGCGCCTGTAAGGGTCTTGATTGCAAATTCCAGACATGGGTCTGACCAAAATTCAGCAATTGGAACACTCAGCTGCGCTTCAATCTGTACATTTTCAGTTCGTATTCTCTGTATTTTCTCTTGTGGGACATCTAGGCCGCATTCCGGAGGGGTTTTCCTCTTATTAGAAGGATTTTCATGCAAGGGTATGTCCTTGAGGTTAGATACATGAGCTTCATTGCCCCTTTCTGGCCCTACATTGAGCTGCTGACATGCTTTATCAGCATCTGGACTAACTTTAGTAAGACAGTTTCTATTCGAAGCTTGAGGAACTTCTTTTGTCTCTACTTTACGCGCCGACTCTGGTTTTCGTCCAGCAAGTCGTTTCGAAGACCTTCGAGGCAAGCTGATATCTTTCTTCTTCTTGAACCTCCTTGTCTTCGTCTTTTTCCTACTGTCAACTCTTTTAGTTTCTGTATGTTCCCCATTGTCGCCTCCTTCCGTCTCTGTATTTTCCCCATTGTCATCTCGTTCTGTCTCTATCTTTTCCCCATTGTCACCCATTTCCATCACATCACAGATTGCAGTCTTCTCTTGTTGTAACTTCGATGCAGTGGTTGAAAGTGGAGTGTTTTCAGGAGTTTTATTAGTTTCTTGCTTTTCAGCTTTTGGCAATGCCTTCTCTTGCTCCAACTCAGATGCAGAAGTTGAAACTGGTACATCATCTGATGCTCTTTCAGTTTCCTTACCATCTGGAAGATCAGCTTCAGGAGATGCTGAACTTCTCCGACTTTTCTCTTTGATTTCAGAAGACTCCCTGACCACTTCTTGCGACGAAACGATCTTTGTGACAGTTTCAACACGTGAAACAGAAGCATTCAGTTCAGAAGACAGGTTCCCATATCGCCCTGACGGTAGTAGAATTTGGTCTCCTGGAAATTCTGAACTGCTTGGCATTTCCTTCCCTACAACATCTATTGCATATTAAATCATCAAAGCTGGTATAGAACTGGATAAAAGTTAAATTCCTACAAGTATTTGGACAGCGTTTCAGTATGGCTAATCAATAAGCACCAGAAAATGTTAGCAATCAACAAATGCTCGTACCTGCAAGAGGTTGTTGGGTTGCTGTAGGGTGCTCTGGTTTCTGTCCTTTAGCAGTAGAAGGGCTCTAAAATAAGAGCAAGCAACAATTCAGAATTTTAAAACTATCCTTATTAGAAACCATTGAAGCATAGCTAGAAACGGACTGAAGCATTGTCGCTAAAATACCCCGTCATAATTTGGGTTCATTTTCCTATCAATCTTTCCACTAATGGTTGTAGGGGCTTTCATTCAGGGTCAGTTGACTAAAACATACTGATTACAGAGTAAAGTGAGGAGGACAAAATTTAAAACCAAACTGATTGCAGCAAGTGATATTATTACAGCATTCCCACATGAGCCTAACAAGAGGACTTACTGATATTATTTTGTGATTAATCGATTCTTGATCATTATCAACCCCTTCCTTCGGTTTAAATGCATGTCTACTGATCTCTCCAGTCTCAAGATAGCGTAAAACGTCCTTCTTGGAGCGGAATACATATCCAGATTTTGGATCTATGTAAAACTGTAGCAGGTAGCCCATAAGAGAGTTGGATATAACTAAGAGAGGAACCACGCAGTGAAATTATATTGAAATTAACAATGCAGATGAATCATGCTTGGAACAGTGAGAAGACAATGATTGCATAACCTTCTTTTATCTGTGTGTGCGTGTGTGCCTGTTTCTCTCTTACATATGCATGTTTTTTTTTTTTTTGTGCGCCGGAGGGACAGAAGTAAGAAGTTCATACGGGATCTTTCCTAATGCCATCTGCTTTTTCTCTGATCTTGATCTCCTTTATCCATCCAGGCGGCAAATCTTCATCTTTATAATGCTCAATAACAACCTAGAGTACATATGAATATCAGCTACGCAACTCAATAAGCAAATAGTAAAAAGCATTCATAAGCAGTCCAAGAAGCACAGTATGCAAGCAGCATTTCAGAATCACCTAAAAACCTCCCTTTTTAGCCCTGTAATTATCCAATCCAGCTTAGATGCACCTCAACCATCTAGTTGTCCAAGAATCTAACAAGGTTTTAAATCCTGGACACCGAAACCCTACATCCTGGGCAGGTAGTCACCAGTCTCTTTGAATATGACCTTTAAGTGTAAACCATGTGTATTCTCGTGGTGTCATGATGAACAAGAAGAAACGAGTCCACAGTTGTTTTTTGTTAAATTTCAACATTAAATTGATGCCAAGATTCATAAGAATGTAATTGTCAAACTGAAGGCTAGTAAAATCTCTCATGCACCCTCAGCTGTACTAAAATTTTTAAGAAGTCCAGCATATTATAGTATCATCAGCCTTCATTACCCATTCAATCGATCTTCAACTTTTTTTATAAGATGACAAGAAAATCGGGGGAAAGGAAAAAGAAATGGAAAAAATAACAACAAGAAAAGAGATTGGTAAGGAAACATACATGGGTTCTAGACTTTGTGCCGTTGCTTGTCTTTCTCTCCTTCAATGTGCACACTTTGTTTTTCACTGTCCTGAGGTATCGAAATACCTCTGGCTTAGAATAAAATCTGTTGCCTGTCACTGGATCAATGTAACACTGCAACAAGCAAGAAGTGGGTAAGCACTCAGTAACGAATTGACTTAGCTTAGCATTAATAATCCATTCAAGGTATCATTTTAAATTGGTTAAGAAAGTATTCATGCATGCTTGAAAGTAACAAAAGCTGAAGAAAAATGTGATCTCTGTTCTTGAGTAATTAAAAAAGAAGAAGTTTTTACTTGTTTATCTATTTGTGTGGGTGAGAGTTATAGAATATATTGGAAAAGAACAACAGAATCACGAAGCTGAAACAAAATTGTGGTAGAAGCCAAAAGGTTAAGCACACATATGATACCTTGTATACACCTCCAACGTTTGAACCACTCATTCGTGTTCTTGACTCCACTTTCCAGCCAGCAGGCAACCATTCAGGGCGTTCATTTGCTTTTACTGTGAGCTGTACCAGAGGAAAAATAAAACAACTTAAATGAAAATGGATTTTGTTTAAGGAAAAAAATGTTCAGGAGTCAAACTCACTTGCACTGGACTATTTCCTGACTGCGTTTTGATGCGACTTGAAGTTGGTGGAGACTTTTGAGACTGAATGCTTTTAATATATCCAATAACATCATCCTTAGAATAAAAGCTTTTTCCACTCTCCAAGTTTGTATAGAACTATAAAATCCCAAACAGTGTAAAAATGTAAGTAAGATTTGGTAACGTGAATAAAATTGTTGTCATACAGTAATTTGAGTTTTTCCCTAATAAATCATTCATTTCAGGTGAACCACATGGATTGGCCCAATGATCAAAGTGGCAAGCAGTAAACACAGATCTAAACATGGAGGTTACCTAGTTTTTTGTTTTTTGTTTTTTTTTTTTTTTTCTTCCTTCTTTATAGCGGGGAACCTAGTTAGGGTATCAACTTTACTGAGATTTTACCAATATCAAACAGCTATTTCACGATATAAGTCAAGGTGCATAAGTAGGCTTAGATGCTCACAACTTCTATTTCCAGAAAAAAAAAACGTTCCAAATGCCTTAAAGTGTATATCTATCATACACAGCCGGAGCTTACAGAACTAGAGAAGTGAAGAAATAAGACACTTCTGCAGAGAATTTCAGGGTTCTTATTTCAACTTAAATTTCTCAAATTTGGGAAACAAGCACAGTAAAACTACATCAGGAAGTCGGGATGGGACAAGTAACAACTATGAAGAGAGCTCTTTTAGTTCCCAATGTTTCCACATGCCCAACAAAATGAATCAACCAATAGGTGCTTTAATCCTAACTCCAGGAAGCCCCAACTTTCGGTTAGGTGCCTAAGGGGTTTGCCGAAAAAAACCTGTTCAGCCACTTCTAGCACGCTATCAGGCCGGTGACAGGAGATTTCCAAAGTCTGCGGTTTTAAACACCACCATTCATAGGGAAAGGAACAATTTCAGTGTTGGGATGTATGTTCTAGAAGTTCTTGCCGGTATTGATTAGGAATGTAAGTTGTTTGTGGCCTCCTCTCATATAGAATGGCCTTAGCACCGTCCCCTGTTCATATTTCATACATAAGATTCTAGCTTCCTCCATATTTATATAACATACACTAGATTACAGAGAATTATTTGGTTGGCAGGAGTTCAACAAAGAATCGAAGACCGGAGTTTCCAATATGTTTTGCCAAATTTTAAACCAACCTCCATCGAAGTAACCATCCTTTGGGCACTATAGTTCTCTTCCAATCCATTTGGTAGAAGTTCACATTTTTCTCCAAGTGAAAACTATGCAAACGACCACAGACTTGTCTCCCACTTCTCATCAGTAAAGGTTCCTTTTACACTTCTCTTTTCGGTAACAGGTTTCTTTTCCACTAATATATCTTTGATGCCTGTTCCAGGGTTCTTTGAAATTCGTTGAGCTTTGTCGTAAAAGCTCCACGAATTTCCTCCACCCTGATCTATTATCTCCCAGTAGAATAATAATATCTTCCCTGCCTTGTGCCTCCATAATCTTTTATCTTAAAAATTTGCAGGTGACAGTCCTCAAGTTATATAATTCTTCTATCCATTACAAAACCCGGGGCACGTCTTGTTTTGTAAAAAAAACATCCCTTAACAGAGGTGACGGGGAACTCCTTCAGAAAACCAAGGATTCAGTCCTTTGAGATGAAGTCAAGGTAAGGGAAACAAATGGGTTTCTTCCAACATATGAGACTTCTAATTCCTTTCCATCACTTGGGATAGGATGTGCAAAGAGACAATAAAAGCTTCGCTTTTTATTCGGCAGATCGTTGAGGTTCAGTGGAGGGGAAGAAACTCCACTCTGACTAGCAAGAACCACAGTTAAAAGTAGGAAGATGGAGAAACAACTTTACATCAAGGGTAGGTTATAAGAGAGCTAACCAGAAGCAAAACCACCATAGAAACAAAAAGAGACAAACTATGTCTTCCACAAGACATCCTAGTACTAGTCGAATGCCCTTTCTTCCCTTGAGAACAGGAGATATCTATATAATATGCACACCAAAGAAAGGGCAGAACATTCAGAGCACTAGACCCAACAATATGGAACAAAAAACAAACCCTGCAGACCCAATACCAAAATTCCAATGAACAAACCAGAAGAGAAACATGTCACACAACACAATCCGCCCCAAAACTCACAAGCACCAGCCAAAAGGCAAAACCCATAATCAAAGCCCCCAAAAATGCCACTGAAGTTCTTTAAAAAAAAAATTACCCTAATTTTCCTGCCCGTCTTCTGGACTTTAAACTGCACAGTCCAGCCGGAGGGAAGCCAGTCCGGCGAACCCTTAGACACCATCTTCCCTGAAAAATCAACAATAGATCAGCAGACAGTGAGCAATCGAGATCGGTTTCCCACAGTCCGCGTAAGAATGGAGCTGAAACTCGAAGCTGAACACCAAAACGGAATTAATTAGGTCAAAGAAAGAAGGCAAAAGGGAAAGGGAAGGGGGAAGGGGAGAAATTGAGGTGCGTACACGTGGGTGCAAATGGAAATCCTTCTCTTTTTTTCTTTTTTCTTTTTTTGTACAAAAAGGAAAAGATTATTCACTGAGATGGGTCTGCTAGTGGAGAGGGAAAAAAGCTCAGGCCTCGAACATGGGGTTCTTCAAGACGCAACCAGAAGCTCCTTTTCGCACTCTCGCTCTCTCTCTCTCCAGAGACCTTTTTGGTTAGAGGGGTTTGACCATTGAATCAGTGGATTAGATCTTCATCTTCTGCTTCAACCCGTTGGGTTAAAATGGAAGCCAAATGAAAGAGCTGAACAACATTGATTTCCTCAATTTTCAAACCAGATCAATCCGTCTCCGTTATGCCTACCAATAATACCCAGATTTTGCATTTTATATATATACTTTTTTTTTCAACACGTGCTCTAAATTGTTAAAAAAAAAAAATGTAATTTTTTTCTTTTATTCTTTATTGATTAAATTAAAATAGTCAGCTATTTCTATTTTCGGAATTTCGATTACATTGTCCAATGTCATAAATGTGATTTAAAATTAAAACTCAATACATTAATAAATTACAAAACATAAATCGATTTTGGATGAAATTTATAATAAATTTGAGAATACACCCCAACTAAATTATTAGTTATAGAGAAATTATAGATTTGCGGAGATCCTCGGGAGATCATTTCCTTACCGAGAAAGGTTTTATTATAATATTAAAATTTAAATTTTTAGAAATTATGTTAATATAGCATGATATTGTATTTTTGCGTATGAAATATTTTCCAATGCCCACAAAAATAAACGAATATCGTGAAGGTTTCTTCGTCCCACCCCACCCCAGAGTTGCAAAAAATCATCTAAACGATAAATAATCCAAGCATATTATATAACAATGAATAATCGATTAAGGGTCTTATCATTTATAAAGTCTTATAATAAATATTAGAAATTATTTGCATTTTTGTCACACATTGAGAAATTATGAATGCACAATTAGGGCCACTTGGTAATATAAAATTTGACCTCCCATTTCCAAAGGGAACAATACCAACAACTTTTCTTCATTGCCACAGTTAAATAAGGATCAAATTGGTGGTTGCCTTAAATTCCTCGTCAATTATTGTTCGTTCACATTATCTTGTTATTCAAATTCATAAATTATCCTTAAGATATAAGACTATATATTAAAAAAAACATTATTTGAAATTCAATTAAATACTTTGTCTCAAATAGATTGATTTAAGAGTTGAAAAATCTCAGTCATTTCTCCCAATTGTTTGAAATAAATTTGACAAAAATTTCCTTATAAAACAAAAAAGATGACGAAATATAACATGTCTGACAAATAAATTAGTTTATTACCAAATTGGAATCACATTAGATGTTATTATTTGTGATAAAAAAAAATTAATTAGCTGACAAATAAATTATTTTTTATTTCAAAGTTATTAATTATTAATATTTTGACTATAAAATTGAAAATAACTGTGGAACTTGAACCCATCATCTCCATTCAATACACACACAACCATGGCGGAATTCTCGATCTTATATTTTGTCGATAAATTTCTTCACAAAAATCAATCAAAACGTTGTCGTTTGTCATCTCTTCATCACATACATATAATTATTATTGCTCTACACAATTTTTCTGTATAAAGAAAAAAAAAATTACACTATAAGAGTGCAAAAAGATTGTTGGAAGAAATTATTTGAGGAGCTGAAACAGTATGACCGAGATTTAATCCTATGAGAATTCGAAAACTGTATTTTGAACCTGTATTAAAGAATGTTGGTGGTGGCGGCGGCGGCGGTCGCAATCAGTGTGACGCTGATCGGTTTAGTTATGAAGTGGGTTTGGACCGGCGGGGACTTTGCGGAGTGAAACGGCGTGGTATTGGGGTGCGATGACGTCCTCGACGGCGGGCGGCGACTTTGGGAGTGAAAATGTTGAAGAGGTAGGTGGTTGGAGAGAATCATTCGGCGGTTGTTGTGTGTCGGCGGCGGAGAGAGAGGCGGTGGTGAGGAGAATTGTGACGAGGAAGAGGAGGAGGAAGGAGGAATTGGGGTTTGGAGAAGCCATTGTTGGAGTTTGAGTGGAGGAGAGAGAGGAGAAGGTTTTTGAAGAAGAATTAGAAGAAGTGGAGGAATCGAGAAGAAATGGAAAATGGGGAAATGTCTTTTTAATAATAAAAGCCGGCAACTTGCAGATGAACGTGGATCCAAAATCTCATTCATATGTTTGTGACATGAGGTTTGACTAAACTACCCTTTCATTTTGTTGAATTTACGTCTAAACCTTGGGTTTTAGTACAATAAATGTACATATATCCTTACGGAAAAAATTATATTATGGTTGATATTAGTTGTCGTTAATATTTAGGATGCTGACTCACCCTCGTCTATTCTAATTATTTATAATAAATTAAAATTTTAAATAGGTAAATCAAACTTAAAATACTCGACAAATTTGATGACCGAAAATAAATGAAAAAATATATATAAAGGGTTATTTTTCCTTCAAATTCTACTATATTTTTTTTTGTTTTCCGCTTCAATAATAAAAAGTATAAACGATTACTTAATTGATATTGATGTTGATGTGATGTCTATTAAAGCGACTTAATTTAATATTTGACCTAAATAGATGTAAGTTATTAAAGGAGCAGTACCCTAATTAAACAAACTTAGCTGCAAAGAGTAACTTTTAAAAGTGTTGTTTCGATTAATTGAGTGATTAATTTGTTAATAAAAAAAAAATAGCATTAACTCATGCACCATGTGAAATCACATGATCCTAAGTAGTTGCTAGGGCCATAAACAATTAATTTTGAGAAAATAGACGAGGTTTGTTAATACATTTTAAATTCTAAAAAAAAAATGATATATTCAGAAATTTTTACATGATTAAAAATATTATATTTGGAAAATCTTTATGACGTCAAATAACGTCATAAAACAAGCCTGTTTTTTAAAATATACCAAAATTTACCATCTTTAAAAAGTTGGAAATAAAGATTAATTTAATTTAAAAATATCAAATAAGGGCAAAGAGAATTAATTATTGGTCAGAAAGCACGTTAGGGATGCCCTTTATAATGTACCCGTAATTAATTTAGGAGAAGAAATATTGTAAGACTGCACCGTGTTGACTAAACGTGATATAACGAGAAATGTGGAAGGGCAGTCTGGTCATTTCCAAACTCCACCGCGATTTAGTTGTAAAATTCACTTTTTTTTTTCTTTTTTTTTATAAATTTTTTCCGAAAATATGTTGGGCGTTGACTATGCTAATCAGGCGCCTTATTTTCCGTTTTTTAGTTTGAAAATTCTTCAGTTTAATAAAATCATTTAAGTTTGGTTTAGTAAAAAGTTGACACGTGTTATCGAATGTGGGTACTTGGTACTCTGCTAAGTGCCACCCATGTCCCACGTGCTCCACCACAAAAAACCAAAAATAAAAAATTAATTTTGTGTTCTTTTCTTAAATAAATAAATAAAAGCCCCCACCCTTGGAGCCGCTGTCTTATCTGTTGATAATTTTAGTTATTATTTTGTAAAAGAAAAAATATGTATAAAGTTTACTGAAACAGCGTCGTTTTCCAACATTTGACTTTTGTAAGCATAAAGTTTACAACTTAGTTAATGCGACTCGTATTTATAATGTTACTACTCCCTTTTCCACACGGAAATCAAAATTAATAATATTTTATTTGTATCTTATGTTAAATACGTCATAAAATGCAATTATCCTGATTTTTTTAATATAGTAAAGATAAACCTAAAGTTTGAAAATTTAAAATCATATTTAGATAGTGTAAGTCAATAATTAAAGTAAATGGGCAGCTTTATTTGAATTTTATCCAAATAAAAGCATTTAAAATTGAATGCAGGCAATGGAGTTATGGGGTTTTGAAATGGGGTCTGTCTTTGTTATTATGCATTAAATTAATGGACCCCAGATGAGATTTGATCCTGATGGGATTCTTATACATTTTAATTAAATTTTACTATATTTATTTATTTATTTAACGCAATATAAAATGCTTTTTAAGAAGGATTCTAACTTTCAAAAACTTAATTTATAGGACCATGACTAATTTAAGTAGATATGAATGTTACGATCTAACTACAATGAGGGTAGATCGTGACCTTTACGCTGTGACAAGTGACAGAAAAATCGACTACTCTCAAGTGGCGCTCATCTGACTATATGAGGGCTTAGACAAGTGTCATGATACGACCGAGGAGGATAGTGCATCATTTAACACACCATACACAAATAGATATTAAAGAGAAGTCGAGGTATAAGCAAGATGGGTTGATTGAAGGGCTGGATGGGTTTTTCCTTGAATCTTAACCTCAAAAGTTTGAGTTTTGAAAAGAATTTGATCATACGGTGTTGTGGAGTGTTTGTTCAATGTCTAATACCACTGTCAGATATTGTCTTATTTGGGCTTCACGTTTTAAAACATGTTTACTAGAGAGAACTTTCCACAATGTTTCGTTCACCTCTCTCAGGTTGGCATGAGATCTCACCAAACTACACAAATTGGTTTCAAATATATTAGAATGCAAAAATTGAGGCCCACCAAAATCTAAAAGGGTGTCATGATTAGATTAGACTTGGTTATTTGAATTAGATTCGGTCATACCAGATTTAGTCTATCGGATTTAATTATGTAACGCTCTATAATAGCCAATTTTATTCTTGAATAGTATGAGAGATTTCTCCGTTCATTTCTAACCAAGGGGTGGTCTTCAAAATCTTAATTACAACGAAACACATTTATATGAAGCCTTAAAGATTAAAGATACTTAACCACGACGATAACTAAGACATGCGAACCTGCAAGTTTACGGACAAACCCAAGATAAATAAGATGTTGCGGTTATGTTTGGAAGATGTTGCAGTTATCTTCGGTAAAAAATGTTCTCGTTCCTCTCATGATTGAGTGTAATATACAATATCATATGATGTTCATACCAATTCTTATGCCAGGTATGTCTTTCAAACCCATTGGGGGCTATCTTCTTGAAAAAAGCAGGTGGCTAGTAGACCAATTGACTTGGAAAATTGTTGGTGTATAACTCTACCAAATTAGTCTTATGGCTAACAAGTTTCTAGATTGAGTTGTAATAATCAAGCTATGTATGATATGTGTTCTGATCGTATTTGTTCAAGACGTGTTATATGTGACTGTGTGTCAAATGTCTTGATCAGTCGTCCATAGCC